ACTGTTAAGTTTGTATTAAGACAAATGTGTATATATATATATATATATATATACGAACTTTGCATTTACTGTTTGAGTTTAAGAGAAATCATAATTTAATTATTTGAAATTTTAGTCTTTATATATTTAGAGGATTGTTTAGTCATGATCCAGCTTCTGCGAGTTAAATCCAAATAAATACTAAAAGTGTACCTATAACCAATCTTTTTCACTTAAAATGTAGAATATATGTAAATTATAGTGCTTTAGCAAATATACTGTTGAAGTTTAAGAATTAGGTCATTTAATTTTAATGATTTTTAAAAATTTATCTTAATGCTTGAAGGCTGCAGAAGAATACTTAGCAAGTAAGGTTAATAATAATGATGCAAAAGTATTGCACCACCATAATAATTCTTTGTCCCACCATTACTGTGATTTTTCTTCTGCTACAATGAATGATTGGAATATTATTAACATTGCAGGAATGTGTGGAAGTGATCTTGCTGTGTAGGAATCCTGTATTGAGTCAGCAGTAGAATAATATCCCTGTGTAGGGATCCTGTATTGAATTAAGAGCAGAGTGATATTGTTGTGTAAGGATTCTGTATTGAGTCAACAGCAGAGTGAACTTGTTGTATAGGGATCATTTATAAAGTCAACAGCAGAGTAATCTTGTTGTGTAAATATCTTGTATTGAGTCAGCAGCAGAATTATCTTCCTGTGTAGAGATCCTGTATTGAGTCAACAGCAGAGTGAACTTGTTGCATAAGGATCCTTTATAAAGTCAATAGCAGAGTGACTTTGTTGTTTAGGGATCCTGTATTGAGTCATCAACAGGCCACAACAAAATTTAACTGAAGCATCATGCCTAACACAAATATTTATCATTTTATTGCTAAGTTTGTAAAACTAGTTCTATAGCTGATCCTACATGTAATGGAAGACTTTATACGACAATGAATAATTAATCTTTTGTACATGGTGGCTAGCCATTTCTTAGCAAGCCCAACAAGGTCATCTTGCCAAATTGCACTAGTAGCATGAATATGTCAGCAAAGTGCTTTTAAGTATTGTTTTTAGTATTTTGTTTATTATACAACTTTTCATAAAAACATTTGCTACATGGTAAATCAGGTTTTTCAAATCTGAATGAATGTTTTTAGTGGCCTCCAGATTTACAAATAAAATAAAATAACTTTTTTTGTTCAAGAATTTAACTATTTAGACTGAAAAACATTTCTCCCTCATAGAATTGTAACATATACATCTTTGACCACATCAGCACAGTAACTGTGGATGATTGTATCAACTGTAATATTTTCGTGGGTCCTTCAAGAGGAAGGTAAGTGAAGCTAGAAATAAGAAAATAATTCTGGCAAAGTACTATGAATATTGGTTATTCTCTCTGTCTCTTTATATTGGCTGGGCATGTCATAGAGGTTAGTGTGCCTGGACTGTGAATCCAAAAATTCATGGTTTGATTCCTTTTTGATTCAAAAACACATGATCAGCACTGTAGGGCCATGATTGCACTGCAAGAGCAATGGTCAAATACCACTTTTCAGTTAGACAAGAGTAACTCAAGAATTGCTGAATAAAGTGCTTTTCATATCAGTGTGTATTATATACGTTGTAAATAAACTTTAGATCATATACATAGTATTGGAGTTTATTCAAAGTTATTCTATAAAAATTATGTTTAGACTTTCCAATGAACACAAGAATACAAATCACTAAAGATCACTTCTTCAAAAACTGATTAATGAAATGAAACTTATGTACTAAACAAGCAGTTACAGAATTTCAGAAATACACTGTGTATACCTTGATACACAAATCAAAGTTTTGCTCAACTTGTATATGAAGAAATGAAGAATGCTTGTGGATTTTTAAGAGATCTCAAAGAAAAGAAACAAAATAATAATTTAAATGTAAAACTTACTTTGCATTTCCTGTTTTATTTAAAATATTTTTACTATTAGTTGCTTAATGAATTAATATGTACCTTTTTTTTAGTTTATGAATTTTCTAGCACTATTTGGTAACCATTAAGTTGTTGTAGATTTCTGGATGTGTTCATTGAATTGAGGCTTTGTTCAGATAGATTTAAATTTGGACTTTTTGCTTATGGCCTATCTTATTACTAAAGCTATTGTACAACATTATTCAGTTGATAAATTTTGATACAGTTTAACCCTTTCACAGTGAGAGCCCTTAAAACACTTTTCTACACAAGTCACTGTGTTACGTTCAAAATTTAATTAAACACCGTTACTATAAGTGTATGTGAATGAAAGTAATATTATATGTTATGATTCAAAATTTTAAGTTATCAAAGTTTTAAGTCCTTTATTTCAAAATAAACCTTTAAAAACTAAAAACTGTTTTGATATTGGCATGCTGTTGTTGTCATGGGTTATATCTCACTGAATGTAGTATTGTTGGCTGCTTGATCAACTATAGCACTTACAGATGTTTCTTACCTAAATATGTTATAGTTGGAGATACAGTTTAAATTTTATTTAGGTCCTACTATTATATTTTAGTTAATTGTGTATTAGTTATGTTTTAAAATGCATAATTAAAAGGCTTAAACATTTTTTAATATACCTCATACTTTGTGTCCATTCTCAAGGCTTACAATATTACGTGCTGAATGAAGTTTTGCCAAAGGGTTGTGCATGTCCCCCATAGAAACTGTAACATTCCTCGAAGGGCACCGTTGACTTATGTCAAGATGAATAATAAGTGGTAAAAGACAAGAAAAGAAAATTAAACATTAAAGATTAACTATGTGAAAAGACCTGAAATTACAAATTTAACAAAAGGAAAATCTTTAAAGATATTCTAAAAAAATTAAAATGATGTATATTTTTGTCTCTTTCCTAGTTTTAATTATTTCATTGTATTGTACATTGATGATAATAGCTAGAGTTCGTGATATGGTAGAGAAAATGAAAAATAAAGTATAAACATTTACCTTAAAAAACTTTATGTCCTTCTAGGAGGTTCTAGAGATTATGTAAATGAAATATGGAAACTACAAGATGAAGAAAAGTATTTTTATATTTAAAATGAAAATCACTTGCACTCAATTTGTTAATAGCTTGAGTTAAAGTATCTACAATAGAAAAATAACATTTTTAGTAAAAACACTTAATTATAATAATGTCACTTGATCTTTAACAAAATCTTACCAGTTTTTGACAGGATACATTAAGAAATCTCAGTTACAACATGTATTGTTGTATCAGTGGATTTCATGAATCAATTTCCACAAATTGCACGAATTTGCTGCAAAAGGGTTAACAGAATTATTAAAAGAATATTGCTAAGATTTTCTGTATAAAAATGGTGTCTTAGTTTTTCATAACTTTGTAATATTTGATTATTTTTAATTTGATAATTTATTCTGCAGCTACTATCTGTATAATTGTCCTGACACTAGTTTTCACAGTTAACTATTGAAAGAGTTTAACTTTTTTCTGGGTTCAAGTTCTGACTCATTTTGACATTTATGTATTGTAGTTAAATCTTTTGTCCTTTTCTTACTTGGAACTAGGATTTTTTGTAAAATCAATGACTGGATTTTGTAAAAAGTGCACTTCTGTCAAGCAACTAGTCGAGAGGTACATAGATATTTACTTCATCGCATATCTCTTCCTTCATTTTTCATCTTTGATCACTTGAGCTTAACTTTGTTCATCAGTTTCTCCAACTCATCTGTAAATGTAAATTCAAAATATTTATGCAGTTTTAGAAAGAAGGAATTACCTTTTATTTTAATCCTTTGAGAAGGTTATGCATTATTATTTTGAGAAAATCTATGTTTGATAATACCAGAACTTGTATTTACATAAAAAGATGGAAAGCTTGTAGCTTTAATTTTAATAAGAATTGTAAAGTTGTAATTTTCTGTCGACATAATTATTATCTCCGGCCAAAGGCAGAAGTATTGTTTTTACTCCTCTCTGTGTATGTATGTGCAATATAACTCATAGTTTTCACTTGATTTTAATCAGATTTGATACAAAAGTTAAGTTTACTGGAGAAACAGTTGATTAACATTTGGTCAATAATCAAGGCATGGCCAGGTGGTTAGGGCGCTCGACTTGCAATCTGCGGGTTGTGGGTTTGAATCCCTGTCACACCAAACATGCTCACACTTTCAGCCATGGGGGTGTTATAAAGTGACGGTCAATCCCACTATTTGTTGGTAAAAGAGTAGCCCAAGAGTTGGCGGTGGGTGGTGATGACTAGCTGCCTTCCCTTTAGTCTTACACTGCTAAATTAGGGACAGCTAGTGCAGATAGCCCTCGTGTAGCTTTGTGCAAAATTAAAAAAACAAACAATAGTCAAGGTCCATTGAAAATCCTCCACTTTCTTTATAATTGTAGCAAATTTGGATTTTGGAAAAAAGGTAAAAAACTCAAGAACATATTGAGATAAAAAGGTCTTAGCATGCTGATCTAAATTTCTGAGGATTAGGAATTGTTTGGTGTATACTTTAGATTGGGTATTTGGAGTGCCGTTCTAGATTTTATTTTAATCACCATCATAGTATTTAGAGCTGGGTGATAAACTTGATTAATCGATATAATGTATTATCTGTGAGCATGAATTACATCAAGTTGTGTCACAAAGAATAATCAACTAACCAAAATTAGTGTTTCCGATTGTTACTGTTTTCAATTATTCCAACTGTCCAAGTAATCGAAATGTTGCCATTATTACTTTTGATTAATTAAAGGTTGTTCATCTTACTTGACCACCAGGGGTTTTCCTTTGCCCATCTAAGCATTGGTCTGGTTTTTTCTTGCTTGCTTCTGTCTTTTATACCCTACTCAATTGGCCTTGGCAATACTTTTCTCATGATACTTTCCACCTATGCCAATGCACCTCTGTCTTGGTACTGTATATAAGCACCTCATTCAGATAATTTTATCACTTGTTCTTGACAAAGTGTCACAAACGCGTTTCCCAGAATTAGGATCGTTCGGAGATACTTTGAATGTTATTGTGTTATCTAGTTGATTTTCTTAATAATAATAATAAATATAAAATAATATATTGTATGAATTTCCGGATTATTATTTCCGGCATGGAAGCAAATTGGGTCTCTCCTATTCCACCCCTGATATCTGGGAATGTGGGCATCACTCAAATCTCTTGTGCCTTTGGGATGAGAACACAAACAATCCTTTTATTGGTCATTATGTGACCAAGGATCATAAACATCAATTTACTGGTTTCTCCAGTTTCATAATTAGGGATCATTCTTTGATCTCAAGGGGTAGTTAAGTCGGGACACTACAACAACATGGGTTCCTCTACTGCCACCTCGTCCAGAGTTCCATCTCTTCATGAATGCCTTGCTTCAGGGATGGGGTACATATACCAACAGTCAGGAATTCCAGGGTCTATGCATGGACAAAGAAGATTCCCTACACAATGCTTTACTCCTTCTTGTTCTTCAACAGGCAATGCCTCATGGTCTGGACATATTAAGGGGTAAATTGTCAGGCTTCACTGCCAATTCCTTGGTGGTGTCTTGTTGTTCTCATCGAAGAGGTACGTGGTCTAGGTCTCCTTAATTTTGAGTTTTGGACCTTCTTTCTCAGTACCAGTCCTATCTTATCACCCTTCTAACTTGCCATGTTCCACGGGTGATGCCTGTGGTAGCAGGTCAATTGTCTCAATCCAAACAGATTTTCCCAACAGAATAGATGTTGCATTGCAAGGCTTTGTTGTATTGGCTCTCCTTTTGCAACTCCAATTGGTGGGTTGGCCTCTCATTGGATCTCCCAACTACTGGCAATTTGGTCTCCTGTATCTCATCTTTGGGATTTAGCAATAGATGCTTTTCATCTGGACAGGATGGGATTACCACTCTAAACTTTCGTTTCACTTCATATGTTACCCAGGGTATGAAATATGATTTGTTCCAACCCATTGTCAGATCCTGTTGATAGCATCAGATTGGCTGCTACACCCGGGTTTCTGCTTCTGCCATCCCTTCCCATGTGTCCAACTCCACTTCTTTTTTGGCTCTCTCTGTGGAGGCAGCCATAATCTGATATGGTACACCCGGCTATCCAGAAACTCAAGCTTCTGACATATAGGTTACGCTATCTTTCACACAACATTGGGGTATAATTTCTAAGGTTACCATGTATCTGTCTCAGTTTTTCCTTAGTATGAAAGGCACATTTGTCAATGATAATAACATGCATATCGACAATGGTGTATTGAGAAGAGGTTGAAGCCTTTTCAACTATAACTCATTTTTTGACCTGTCTCTTTGGCAAGGATTTTTGCATTTTCTACAATTGCCTTGTTTAAGGCAGCCTTATGAACTACTGTTCAATCATCAGAACTACATATTTTTTGAATCCCCAATAATCTCCAGATTCTTCCAGTTGCTCTGGGTACTTGGTCCGAAATGACCATTCTAGTTACCTGCCAGGTATGTTAAGGTTCTTTCTCAACACCTGTTTGTGACCTGACTCTTATATACCATGTATTCCCTTTACCTGCAGGTTTATTTTTTGTGGCTGCTGACCTACGGACATCACCGGTCGGAGTGATTTGTGCTGTTTGTCCACAGACTACTTTCTCATTCTCTCTACATCCTCAGACCAGTTCTTCTTACCAAACACACTGTGAGGTGGGAAAAGGGTTCAATCCTTTTTCTGATTCATCTGATCACTATTTCTCTCTTCTATGTCTACTCAGATTTTGAACTTGGTCATGTTCAGTGAGGGCCTTGAAGATTTTGTTGCCTGCATTAATATTTTCAGAGATACTAAACAATGGTTTTTATTCTGGGCTCTCTTTGAAGGTGAGGAATCTAATCAGATTTGTCACTTTTCTTTGTCCTTAGTGGCCTTGTCAAGTTGCCAGCTAGAGGTGGACTGGTATGTAGACCTCCCCCAATACCTTTATCTCACATTATTTGCATGATCTAGCAGTCTCTTTATCTGAGGGTTTTCCCTACCCCCTGTAGCTATTTTAACCATTTCTGCTAGATTATCCAGAAGAGTGAGTATTTTCATTTTTAACATTCTGGATTCCCGTCTCTTACCTTGTTTTCACAGGATCTCACTCTGTGGCGAGTGTTGCCCAGACAGGTGTACTTTTATGAAATCAATACTGCACTAGCAACTACTAATTCAATATACTCTATACAGGTTGCAACAGGCTCTGTAGAAATGAGGTGTTCCATAAGACCACCTAGGAGCTCACCATGTGATATTACTGTTCTATGATGGACTGCCACTCATGAAATAGTATGAGTAAAGCATAAGGGGATCCTGCCTATCCCTGCCAACCTTTCTATTGAATTAATTGAGGTCAGTTTACTTTTAAACATTTAGGGAACTTGACTCACCTATTGCACTGTTTCCAGAGCACTGTACCTCAGGACTCCCCAATGTGCATTACATCCCAGATTCTAATGGTGGAGCTAAATATAAAAATGAAAGTCAATGGTAACCCATCTTGAGACATTTTGCTTGGCTTATGTTACTAAAATGTATTGCTGTATATTTCTGTCATTTGGTTTACACAGAAGGAATCTGTTATCTGTGAAGTGACATAGTCTTATTTTGATTAAATAGAGAAATGCATACATCAGAGATAACTGTTGTATTTGGATTTGTTGTAATAAGTATCAAAATACAAACAAAGATATCACAAAGGATTTTATAGGTTGTAATAGTCATAGAATTTATAAGTGATTGTGAAAAATAATCACTATGTTTGAATTAGTATAAAGGCATAAATAGGATCAAAGTTTTTTGTTTTATTGGGTAATTTTGATGATTTAATGGAGGGTTGTCATTGGTATCCCTTTTTTATTCCACAGTGGAAATACTTAACAAAATCAAGGGAAACATAGAACAAACTTGCTAAGTAGCATCTAGTATGGGGTTAAAAAAAATTGTATAATTTGATTTAGTTTTTTTTTTATTTTTGAGGTCATGAAATTTCCTAAATTTTATGAGAAACATTTGAAAAAAAAAATTAAAATACTTCCTTTTATCTTAGAATGTTGTTTATTTTATTGTTGATCAGAGAGTTTCATTACGTATTTATTTCTTTATCTTTAAGTATGTTTGAACATTTATAGCGTTTCATATTTGCAATATTTGGCTACTTCATTATCTAGCTCTTCTGTGTTTGAATGTGAGTTGACAGATTAACAGATTAAAATGAGATCAATATGGTTGAATAAGTGAAATATAATTGTACTATAATTTGTGTATTATGCTACTTGAACAGGTAACAAACACATATGAATACACAGCGTGGTCACAAGTAAATAGATGCCACTTTTTCAGAAAAAATGAAATTTTTCAGTCATATTCACATGAATTGATATATTTATAATTTAATTAATATTTAGTAGATCTTCCTTTCACTTCACGGAGTTCGTTGATCCTTTGGGGCATCATGAGAATCATCTCGTCAATTTTAGATTGTGGGATTTTCGCCCACTCTTGCTTCAAAACTTGGAGTAGATCGCTCTTCGAAGTTGGTTTTTTTGTTGTTTCTTGACTTGCTGGTCGAGTATGGCCAAGAGGTTTTCGATGGGGTTCATGTCAGGAGATTGGCTCGGCCAGGGCAACTTCTGGATACTATTTTCTTCCTGCCACTTTTGGGTGTTTCTATCAGTGTGACACGGTGCTCCATCTTCCTGGAACAACGTTGTGTTCTTGTCCACGACACACCCGAGGAATAAAGTGGCAAGAGTCCTTCCTCCAATATTTCGACATATTTTGCAAAATTTATGTTGCCAACGCATTCCACTAAGCTCAATCTCCCACCAACCCAAACAGCTCCCCAAATCATCACGCTGAAACCACCATGCTTCACAGTTGGCTGTGGAGAATCCGTTGAACAGATTTCAGGCTCATCCCACCAACTTTGACCACTTCTGCAGTCGTTAATCTGGGATCCATTTTGATGCTCCTCTTGACAGCCCTTTTTGTCCTCTCCAATGGACCAGGATGACCCGGACGCTGCTCAGTTGTTTCCTGAACTGCACAATGATTCTGTTGACTGTCGAAAGCGGGATTCCCAAATTCTGGGAAATTTGCCGCTGACTTATTCCACCATCTGCTTGACCAACTATCCTTCCTCTAACAAAATCTGACAATTCGAGAGAACCTTGAGTTCTAGGCATGTTGTAGCACAAGATAATTACTGTGCGGACCATTTTCATTTATATAGTGCTCTGTGAACACAAACTAGTTAGCATAAATCAGTTAAATGACGAAAAATTAGGTGTCTATTTACTTGTGACCACTCAGTGTATGTTCAAGAGTGCAACAGTGTTTTTGTTTAAAAAAATTGATAATAACCTAGTGAGTGACTTGTCTCTCTTTTAATGCATGTATCATACAATAAGAATGTGACATAAGGATGTTTATCTTACCTTTCAGTGTATTTTTACGAGGCTGTGAAGGAAGCAAGTTTATGATTGCATGTCAGCAATTTCGTGCCAGGGATTGTAAGAAACTTAACCTGTTTTTGTGTTGCTCTACTCAACCATCAATAGAATCATGTACTGGAATGAAGTTTGGCTGCTTTTCTTATTTTTATGAAGAACTAGAAGGTAAGAAATATACACATTTTTATTTCCTTCTACTGTAATATTGATTAGCATAATTTCAAAATTAATTCTTAGGGATAGTGAAAGAAAACACTTTTTTGGGGTGATCCCATATTATGTCTATATTAGGCTAAAGAAGCTTACACACTCCAATTGTATTTCAGCAGACCTAGTATGGAAAACATCTAATTAGAATTATTCTCGACTCATTATTCTCAAGGTAACTCAGAAGTTCAATTCTATGAAGAAATGTTACTAACATTTGTTTGGGTACCCAATGTATAATAGACCAGCATCGAAAGACATTTTGTCACATGAAGAAAAAATTAGTTTCATGTTAGAGGAATTAACATCTCATTAAATTCTTAAGTATTTTATGTCACGTAATAATAGATCACCTTCTGTTATTCAAGTATGTTCTGTAATTCTATCTGGAATGTATCGCAGGTGTTTAGTTCAGGTGAAAAATAGTCTAGTACATGTTATCTATAAATAAGTAATTCAAGTTTTCTCAGCATTTTTACCTGAGAGGTTTTTCAAGAACCTAGTGTTGTCTATAGGGAATACTTCCTAATTTATTGTGTTAGATACATATAAGCCATATAACTAACTACACCGGCACAACAATGTTAAGTTAAAATATATGTAAACAGTGAGTTGGTGAATTTTAGTGTTGTAAGCTTATATTGACAATTAAGATTATAGAACTGATGAGATGTGTTACAAAAAAAAAATAACTTTGCACACCAAAAAATTTATTTACCATAATGTGTTCTTAATCTGTCCAGAACCTTTAATTTTATTTAACAATCACTAGATTGGGTTCAAGGGAAGAGTTCTTTTATTAGTCGACTTTATACATGTTAATTGTGGTCCCTTATTTAGTTATAATGGGTACTTTATGTTTTAATTATAAATTTCTCTTCAGGCTCAAAATTTCTTTATTTTGAATAAATTCATTGTTTTCTCAGTCGCTATTGGTAAAATTTATTTGTGAAATGTTCCACAAGAGTACCCTTTCTGGAGTAGTTTCTTTTTGCCTTTCAAAATCGTGTTATGTGCAATATTATCTAATTATCACAACTGTGATGACATTGGAGAAGTTATGGCTACTAGTGAAAGGTTTTCATGTGTTGGTCTTGGTGAGCAAAATTTATGTGCACAAATCTGAGAGACATAATTTTTCCTTTGCTGAAAACTTTCAGAGATGTTTGTTATACTTCACAGGCCATGGTTATGTTGACTTAGAGAATGTTGTGGATACTGCATTAAATTAATGTATTTCCAGTGATGGCATGCATAAGTGGTCAGTATCTAGTATTTTTCAAGGAAATTTCACATACCAAGCTACTCTACTGAAAACTACCAAATAGGAAGCTGGTTCTGCATAAATAAATATACACACACACACACACACACACACACACATAGACAGCGTGGTCACAAGCAAATAGACACCACTTTTTCAGAAAAAATTAAATTTTTCAGTCATATTCACATGAATTGACATATTTATAATTTAATTAATATCTAGTAGATCTTCCTTTTGCTTCGTGGAGTTCGTTGATCCTTTGTGGCATCGTGAGAATCATTTTGTCAATTTTAGATTGTGGGATATTCGTCCACTCTTGCTTCAAAACTTGGAGTAGATCACTCTTCGAAGTTGTTTTCTTTTGTTGTTTCTTGACTTGCCGGTCGAGTATGGGCAAGAGGTTTTCGATGGGGTTCATGTCAGGAGATTGGCTCGGCCAGGACAACTTCTGGATACTATTTTCTTCCTGCCACTTTGGGTGTTTCTAGCAGTGTGACACGGTGCTCCATCTTCCTGAAACAATGTTGTCTTGTTGTCCACGAAACCCGAGGAATAAAGTGGCAAGAGTCTTTCCTCCAATATTTCGCAAAATTTATGTTGCCAACGCACTCCACTAAGCTCGACCTCCCACCAACCCAAACAGCTCCCCAAACCATCACGCTGAAACCACCATGCTTCACAGTTGGCTGCAATCTGTCGAGCCAAAACTCTTGGCGAGGCATTCTCCAGACCCATATCCTTCCACTGTCCGAAAATTGAGGGAATCTTGATTCATCTGAGAACAACACAGTCTTCCAAAAGTCCAGAGGCTTGGCTATCATATCACTTGCCTACTTCTTTCGTCTGACAATGTTGGCAGGTCTTAATAAGGGCTTCCGTCTAGCTGCTCTGCAACGATAACCCAATCTGTGGAGAATCCGTTGAACAGATTTCGGGCTCATCCCACCAACTTTGGCCACTTCTGCAGTCGTTCATCTGGGATCCATTTTGATGCTTCTCTTGACAGTCCTTTTTGTCCTCTCCGATGGACCAGGACGACCCGGACGCTGCTCAGTTGTTTCCTTGCCGCGTTTCCTGAACTGCACGATGATTCTGTTGACTGTCGAAAGCGGGATTCCAAATTCTGCGAAATATGCCGCTGACTTATTCCACCATCTGCTTGACCAACTATCCTTCCTCTAACAAAATCTGACAATTCGAGAGAACCTTGAGTTCTAGGCATGTTGTAGCACAAGATAATTAGTGTGTGGACCATTTTCATTTATATAGTGCTTTGTGAACACAAATTAGTTAGCATAAATCAGTTAAGTGACGAAAAATTAGGTGTCTATTTACTTGTGACCACTCAGTGTATGTGTGTATGTAAACGCTAATGTAGCTTTGTATTGTTATGTAATATGAATTTTCGAGAAACGCCTATAAATAGAACCAACGCGACACGCTAAAAAAGAGTATCTATTATTGGGTTGCTGTAATTGTTGTGCTATAAACTTTGGAAGACATAAATATGGTTGTTATAATGCTTATCAATCGGGACACTTCAGATATTTGACCAGAAACATTTATAAATTACGAACATCACAAATCATTCAACCTCACCGGATTTACATCGGACATTACCTAACGTCATCGGTGGAAACTCGACCTGTAATCGGCGCGTGACTAGCGAGAACTATCGGGCTAGCTAGTTAGCTCCCTGATAAGTGAATTATACCTATGTCAACTTGTAATTAACTCGCTCATCGTCAACCCTCGATAAGATATTGAAGAAGTTCCAGACTAGAAAGAAGACTTTATATTGCTTGTAAGTTTATGAAACTTTTGTTTATAAATCATTGTATATAATAAGTCTTTGTAATAACTGTTATTGTAAATTGTATTATTGTTTGTATATTAAAAC